TTGAATTCACTGATGATAATTTTATATAGTTGACTACTGGGAGTATTACGTGTATAACAAATTCTTCATTACATCTATAGTTATGATATTAGTCTTTTTTCTGCCCATTTTAACATGGTGTTGTGGAGGTAATGTTTTTTTTAATGCATTTTTATGTCTAGTTGTACCTGACCAGTCAACAATCTGATTTTCAATAGTTGTTGTAAAATTAATTTTTTTACTGTATAGGTAATAAGAGGGATATCTTCCTTTTATTTATGATTATGATTATTATAATTTCGATTCTCTTGATGTCATATTACCTAGATCGCATAAAAGAAACAATAGGTAAGGCGGAAAATTAATGTATTGTCACATACACATTATCAAGAGTGGATAATTATTTAGGGAGAGTGTCTAACCCGCCTATAATCTGTGATACCACAGTGCGTAAGTTTACATAGCATGCATGGTTATTAGCACCAAGTAGCCATTCTTGCGTCCTTATACTGATTCCAAGCCAGAAGCCTGCAAATAAGAAAAAGCCAACCATTATAAGAACATATTCCCGTCTGCTCCTGCTTGTTTCTCGCACTACATGATCCTCAGAGTGGAGATATAAGTCTTAAAGTTGCCTACATGCTTCAAGCGCCATTTTATCAGCCACACCCATAAATTTGAAGATTACTGAGATTAACTCTGTATACTTGCAAAAAACGGATGTAAACATACGCGCTGTGGTATCACAGAATATAGGCAGGTTAGACACTCTCCCTAAATAATTATCCACTCTTGACATTATGTATCAATATAGTATCAAACATAATCATTAATGAAAGCAACTGCGAATAGTCATTTTTATTAATTATTTATTTTACAGAAAGTTTTATTTCAATTTTACAATATGTATTGGCTGCATTCATACCATATTTGGTGTACTGTCTTGTTCCTGGTAAGTGAATATTTCCATTATTATTGATTTTATTTTACAATGTTAGAGAAATAAAAAGTATCCTTTCACTGGAGCAGTTATTGACTAAATTATTATTCTTCATGAAAAAAAATAATTGATAATAATTTCAACTAAAAAGGGTTTAATTTTGACTAAGTGCGCTTTTACACTTCCATTTGCTGATAAATAATGATAATGATTTTACTGTTTGTTCATGTTCTCCTCCTTCCCCCTCTTTGTATTTTTGTTTGTGTCTGCCTGTCTATCTCTCTCTCATTTCTTTTTTCTTTTCTGTGTCTAATAATAATAATAATAATAATAATACAATTTTACATTTAAAGAATAAAATAAAATTTTACAATCAGTCACAATTGCAATTAATATACTTCCTTTTCTTATTCACACTTACATTCACACCTTGAGGTGTTAACAAGGTGTCCGGCAAAAAATAATTTTAAAAATCAAGAGAAGCAATATTTGTGCATGATGCATCACGCTTGACTCTTAAA